CCTATTTCACCAAAATCACTGTTCATGTGAAGAAATGTGGTCTCCTCCCACTTGCTGCACCCAGCAGATTTTTGTGGGCAATAAATTCTTATGGTCATGGGCAAAAATTGAAGTAAGACTTCTTAGTGTAATGTTCTATGTAAACCAATTCTGTAGTAAAAACATGAATGTCAGAGTAGCTAACTAGGACAGAAAAAGCCGTGAAACACGCTCCTGGGCCTATTGATTAAACTGACTAAATGGCTTTCTGTTAGGATAATGCCTAGATGACTGCACTGTAGGAAAGTATTTACATAACCTCAAACATCCATTTATTGCAGTGTATTAGACAGACAGATTTTAATTCACTGTTCTTTTACCCTCCATGCCTCCTTCCTTTGGTGTTTACTCGTCTCTCTTGTAACCCTTACTTCCAGCTGGCTGCACAAATAGGAAAATGTCTTCCTTTGCAAGCGAAGTCATCGTCAGGCTGAGAACTGGATGAGAAGATTTCTCTAAAAAGTTATAATGGGAATTCCTCAAAGAATTTGCTGCAGGAAGCCCAGCACTGCTGTGCCATGCTGTCTGCTGCTCTCACTCCTTCACCCTGTGGCACCTACAGCATCAGGTGAGACAGCCACACTGCTCCCAGCACAGTGCACTGCCCATATTGCACAAAATGGATTTCTCAAAAGCAATCTGTGCTTAATGCTATTCTCTAAGAAATCCCCAACCCAGTTTAGTTGCCCCTCACTCTTTCTCTACTGTCTCATCTCACTTCCTTTCCAGGAAGTCATCCTGGATAAGTTCCACACAGAGAAGATAACTTCTGGCCATAGCTTTTTCCTTCTTAATTTCTCTTGTTCATTTGAATGCGTTACCTGCTCATTCTCACCTGAGGGGAATGTTGGAGAAAAAACACTGCCATAGAAAAATTTTCTTCTTAATTACCACCAGTTGAAAGTTTTTATTGCTGTGTACATGTCTGAGTTCACAGGAGAGGCATAACAGGGTGTGTTGCAATTCAATAGATCATCAAAATGGGCTTTGTTTTAGCTCTAGAGGTCTTTAGGAAAATAAAGCCAAGATCCAGGGAAGATGTGAGATTCCTGCTGAAAGACTTCGTCAGGTCCCCATTGGGAGCCCACATGGTACTGACCTCTGCCAGCATCTGTGCCAGTGCATGTGTGTCAGCTGCCAAGGAACATCCTGCTATAATGGACAGTGAATCACCGTGTGCTGAAAGTGCAGCCTGTGATACATGGAGGGTGTACAATTCCCTTGAATTTTATGACTGATAAAAGAGCTATTTTCTTTCCTTTAGAAATGTTTTTTGGCACTGTGGAACAGCTTCACATGTCTGTATTTGTAGATCTGGGCAGTAATTTCTCTCCACAGACTTAAAATCTTACCCAAAGAGTTGAACTAACCAATGTATGCTGCCTGTACAGCCTTTCTTCCCCTTCCTCCCATTCCCCCCTTGCCTGAGAGCAGTGTGTGGTTTTACTGCCGTGGTTGCTGTTCTGAGGCATTTGGTGAGTCCTGAACACAAGCTGTGGCCAATCCGTTGTCTGCAGACTGTTTTCTGGAAGTATCTCTTTCACACCAAAGAGCTCAATGCCATGTATTAGTTGACTTCACCACGTGCTACTTCTCCCATGAGATTATCCACTTTTCAAACTCACTTTACTTCCAGACAATAGTGTCAAACTAGGGATATGCTTGCTTGTCCAAAATGCATGCTCAGAGGTGTGGACAGACCATGTTTGGTGCAGGAGGGGCAAAAAGCTGGAGGGGAAAAAGAGAAAGGAACCTTCCTGGAAAGATGGGTCACTGAAACGGCTTTAGACTTCATGGGTATAAGGAGTGGTTAAGCAGCTATAGCGTGTGGACACGCTTTAAAGCAATTTCTAGTTACAAACATCTGGAAACAGGCTCTGTGAATAGAGTTCACAGCGGGTGGGACAGTCACAGATGACTCACGTGTGACTAACACCAGCACTTCCCTTAGAGGCCAAGACCCAACGCTGCCTTGAGGACACACAAAGGCAGCAGCGCTGCTGGAAGCAATTCTCCACGTGACAGGGACTTGCACAGCTCGCCCCAGGACAACAACTTGTCACGTACATCACTGTGCATCTGGATGGGAAAGCAAAAGAAGAGATTGTGGGTGTTGGTCTCTGTGTTGCAATTAGGCCCAGAGCGACCAAAGACCGGCAGTGTCAGACAGAGCCTGTGGCTTTGCTGTGGATACCTCCAGAAATAATTAACATATTATTCATCTGCTTGAATGCACACTGCCCAGAACACCTGCTTCAATCTTCTCTGGGGGGCTTTTCAGTAAAACCTGTACAATTCACTGAGGCCTGAATAGCTCTGATGCTTTAATACTCACAACTTCATTTTGAAATAAGAGCTTGTGTTGCTGATTGGAGCTGTGGAAAAAGGTGTTACTGCTGCAGAACAAAACTCAGATGGCTGCAGAAGTGGGTGGGGTATGAACTGGGGTTTGGGGAAATATGGCTACAAGAGACCAGGGAGTAAGTCCTGCTTTCAATAGAAGTCTGACGGGGGAGGGGAATGCTGGGGTTCAAGGAATCATTTTTGGATCAGAATTGCATTGGCAGCTGTTCAAACTGGCTGTTTGCCACCTCATACTGCTGCTATTTGGTGCTACAGAGAAGCTTAGGCACTTGAGAGATTCTCTGCTGTTGTAAACAGACACAATTTGACCAAAGTTAAAGGAGGGAGCTGGTTTATACCAGCTGACAACATGGCCTTTAGTTTGCTCTAAAAATGACAAACTGTCTCTGAGTAACAGCAAACTGTTTTTCTGCAGAGGTGGCATTGATGCTGGGTACTGGCATGTGCCTCCAGCTTTCTTTCAATGCTGTCAAAAATCCTCATCCAATTTTGAAAGCTCTATGCAACATGTCATTATCCCAGCTGCAGACAGAGGCTGCACACCTGTGTGGCAGTGCCCTGACCTCCTCCAACCTCTTCCATGTAACTATTACCTTTGCTGAGTCATAAGAAATTTACATCACTGTTGTTTTTACACCAGCTCCACCGACAAATGCAGCCTCTGAGAATCCATCATTCCAATTCATTTCCATTCAGCTATAGGACTTCAAGGTCATCCGCTGATCCCAGCTGATCTCAGAACTGCTATAGGACCTCTCCTGTGCCCACCAGGGAGACAGGGAAGGTGCAGGGCTCCAGGAGATCCCGTGGTAGAGGAGGAAGTACAGGCTGGTGGCTCCCCACCTTCTTGCTCTAAGCCAGGACAGCCCATCGCTTTGAGATTTGAAAAGTGAGCGCAGCAAGGAATCATAACTTCCAGATGTAGAAAACTTGTTAGCAGGAGCACTGGCCTGCATACTCCAGATGCTTTCAGGACTATTCATATCCACATGCATTTACTCTCTATGATACATGTTGGTATTTTCCATTTTGAGTTCTCCCATTACTAGATGGAATAATACAGGCTTATATACTCACAGACACTTATATTTGAAAACAGAGCTGTATGAATGGATAGCTTTTTGATATCAGTTTTGTTCTTGATCAATAAAAGCATAGAAATACTATAAAATTGAAGCTGGGTCCCACAGAACCGTGTTATTTATCATTACTCTAAAAGAAACGCCACCAACACAGTAATTAAGCTTTCTTGCAACTTCTAAAAGAGAAAATAACAAACTTGTCATTGGTTTACAACTGTTTAACCAGCTGTTGACTAAGAAGTATGAGATCTGACTTCCAACACCGGTATTCTCAGCCTATTATGTAATTTTTAGTTTAAGCTCTTTTGCCTTTTCCTTTGAATGGAACAGTAATGCCATAAGCGAAAGTTTACAAAAGAATGCAACAGAGCAATCATTAGCTTGGCATAACCTTTCTCCTACCATTAGACAAAATCAATTGCACACAATGCCATGCCAGAGCTAGGCTGGAGATTACCTGTGACCTCCTCGGCAGGCAGCCCCAGGGTCAGGGGAGAGGCCAGTGGCCAGCAAGAACCTCTCAGTTTATGACAGACCCTTGTTGTCTAACATCTAGAAAACACGTCTCACTTCAGGGACACACATTTCAGGGAAAATACAGAAAAATTAAGTGAGTAGTGCCAGCAAAAACATGGGTGTACTTACAATAGCTTTGTAATGGGATAAAGAGTGTCATACAGAGTATGACAACGCTGTCCAGACAGAACCAGCATTCTCCATTAATCTCATAATCAACACATTGATTCAATTTTCCCTCTCAAACAATAACCTCATTGCAGATCTTCTCCTATTTCTGTCCTCAATTAATGACATCCCTTCTCACACCATCACACTTAAGGCATCACCAGCTTAGCTGGTGCCTTTATCTTCACCTTTCTCTTCAGATATGTGTTTGTGTTGTCCTGTATCTGGTCCTGTTCCTTTTGGAGCTGACAAATAACCTCTTGTGAGGAACTGGGAGTGGGTCTGAAGTCTTTAATCAGGACCCACTGTTGGGTTTTCTCCCACTTGATGCAGAAGAGTGAGGGAAAGTCTGGTTTTTGAACAGAGCCCCAGACCACGCTGGTGCCTTTTGCACCACAGAGATGTACAGAGAGGAGTGGGGACCCAGATCAATCCCCACACAACTCAGCAGCAGCAACAATTAGTCAAAAACCATTCACAACAGCTCCACCTCATGCTCTCCCATTGCATTTTCCCAGTTTGCCATGTTTGCACTCTTACAAGACTCTTTCCAAGACCTTCTTCCTCTGAGGAGCCATCTCCAAGCGATGCTGCTTTGTCCAGGCACCACCACAAAGTCCTCTGGGGCGGTGCTGGGCCCTGTGCTGCCATTTTGGGCTGCCTGACAGACTCTGAGGGTCCAGCCGGAGGAACCCTGCTCACTGCATGCCCTGAGGGCCGCCCATCTTGCTTCAGCAGGAGTGACACAGACAGGGACAAGCTCACTTTCATGCATGACAGAGGCTGGTATTTTGGATTCCTAAGCACAGTTTTCAGCAGTTGAGAACTTACCCAGAAAGCAGGAGTAGAGCTTCATCTGTCCGCCTCCTCACAATGCGAACATTCACCATCCAGCCAGCATGCCAGCACCTCAGTTTGTCATTTGAGTTAGTGATTCCTAGTGGGCTTTATTTATATCTTACAGTCCTGTTTCCTGAAGCAAAGACAGGCACTCAGAGCTGCTTGGCTTACGTAAAAAAAAAAAGGATGTCTGAAAAACCAAGCATCTGTTAATAAAGAGCTTATTGCAAGCCCAGATGTACCCCAAAGTTAACATCACAAGACCTGTCAGTAATAACCCTACTTGGATTGCTGATGCCCAGTCATCTGTAGAAGTGAATTTCTGGCAATAGCAGCATGGCCTGCAGGCCAGGGCTCTCACCATGCTCTGCCTGTGACCACGGGAGGGCCAGCAGCCCCCGTCAGCCTGCTGCGCCACACCAGCCTTCAGTGCTGTGTTTCCAGATGCTTTCCAACTGCTTCCTTCAGGATATTTTATCGCTCCCTGCCAGTGATTTAAACTTTCCATTATGTGCTTTGCCACTCAAAAATCCTGTGAAATCTTAAATATACCTGATGGAAACACTCTGCACATATGATCCTTGCAATCTTCCTATTTGTTTTCCATGCTTAACAGGTAAGTTACTAATCACTTTGGGGATCAGAGATCACTAATAATACAGTTCAGAACAAAGATTTTCCAGCATCCCTAATTCTTGTTACTCCACGGTATGTACCTATTTGTGCTGAAGGACAGAACAAAAACTTGCTGACCCTTTCACTCCATTCACAAAGAAAATCAGGAAGGTAAATGCTCTGTGAACTGGGAATGCAACAGTCCCTTACAGATACTGCATTTTGACTTTAACTGGAACAGCATTAAAAAACTCACAAGACTGACAAAATGTAGATCAAGTTTGCTGAGATACTTATAAATACCATCAGCTTTCTCAGCTTAACACTCAGTTACGATCTTCAAAATACAAGTTTTTGCAAGTACAGTATGTTCCTTACTAGAACTGACTTAGGCAGTTTACAAGCAGCAATAAGTAACAGCTGAGCAAAAGGAGACTCCACCCAAACATTTTTTAACCAATATTTCTTATATCCATGCCAAAATAATTGGATGGAAAAAGAGCTGTCATTTTTAAAAAGTGCAAGAGTAACAGTTTCGTGCTGCTTTTCTTTTTCAGCTCTGCAAACCATCTCCTCTTCGTGCTGTTCCCAAACAACGTAGAACTCAGCACTGCGCAGGACCAAACACCAGATAAGCAGGCCTTGGGGCACGGTGGGCTTGGTGGCACCCCAGTATGCTGTGCCTTCCGTACACATAGCAGTGAGTCCCTTATGGCTGCCAGTGAGTGAGAATCTATAGAAATGTAATTTCAACTGCTACCTCCTTTGGGTAGGTGAAGTGATGTAATTTGATCTTTCTTATACAAAGAATTCCAACTGTAAATGCATATAGGTTCACGAGGTCTGCTCTTGGGCTGAAGGACTGGGATTGCAGTATGAAATCTAAGCTGCAAACAGACTTTCAGCCCCATAAATATCTGTTTTACAACTACAAAGTGACAACTATGAAAAGGTATCAAAAATATTGGCTCCTTTTCCTTTTATATTGTGTTGGAAGGAATGCTGTGATAAATTTAATTCTGTTTAAAATAGAAAGGATCTGGACTGTGTTTTTCATGAAATTGGCACTTGGTATTTTTTTGACATTCCCAGATGTTTGTTTCACTCACAAAGGTCTGTCAGAAACAAATTCCAACAACACCAATACTTTATAATATGGTAAGACTTGATTCTTAATGTACAGAAGCTCATGTATAGAAGCTCAATATCGTATCATAATTTGTTGGGTATTACATGTTAAAATTAAATCCCCACATAAGAGATTGATCATATATTTGCACCACATTTCAGTCAAAACGTAAATCTTAAAGATGAAGGTGAAGAACAACTCCAGTATCTTTACGCTGTCAGCTCCAGATAACTCAGTTCCAAAGAGAAAAAAAAAAAGTCTTAATTCAGAAACTGATATATGGCTGCTAAGAAGCAATAAATCTACTGCACCTTTGGGAGTTAAGCTTACAGGCTGCCTATGACTTATGATTGCTTCTAATTAATAGTCTTCTCTGTACTGAAAGAATCCTGATATTTAAAAACGAACATCAAACATTTGGAATTCCTTTTTTAGGGAGCTTCACTTTGTGAGTTAATAGCCATAACCTTTGAATAACCCAAGGAAATACAGCGGAGGCCGGCTCCCCCAGACTGCCCATAAAGAATATTTTGCACATGAAATACAGGAAACAAAGCAGTAACTAGGATAGTAAACATCCAAATCCTTGCCCTGCTGGCAACTGACCAAGCTATCTGCTCTAACAGAGCACGACCCCTCAGTAATGAAAATACAGCTCGGTCTTGTTTGTTCATGTCCAGTGTACTTGCAGTTAAGTGTACAACAGACCAAGGAAACTCTGCTGCTTCAGATGGAGGACTCTCAGCTGACTCTTGATTTTGGCTGTTCTCAAGCCAGGCCTTGTGCAAAATAGGACTTGGGACATGTCACAATATACAACAACCAAACACCTGCTGGATCCAAACTTTGGACTTGGAGTGAAAAATGGCAGCAATCAACTAAATATGTCTACTGCCTTCTGCAATCAGCCGTGATACTGAGAAGGCAACCAAAGTCACTGAATAAAAGAACAAAGAAAGGAGAAAAAGAAAAATATGACAAAATCAAATCTTGCCTTAACCACAGTCTTCACTGAAGTTTATGGAAGAGGAGGAAACAGGCAGCAACGCAGATCTCAATCAACTGTTTTTCACAGTTTGTTGGTATTAGTTGCTTCAAATAAATGAATCACAGCATCAACTGTTAATAAACTGATATATACTTTATTGTGCACAAGAGACTAAGATGACATGAAACTGTGGTTATCAAAACTTTACAACTAAGCACTTCCCACAAGTCTCTGAAATACTGAACATAAAGTGTAGTACAAATGGGATGTTCTGACTGGCCACAGGTATTAGCAAGTATATTTCTATTGTTCTTGGATTTAAAAAAAAATCTGGCATTTGGATCCTAAAGAAATATACTTATCTATTTAAAGGTGAGAATACTGTGTGGAACTGGTAGGTACATGGCAGCGAAATATGGTTTACTCCATGAACATCCCCAAAATGACAAACAACAAGATGGCAGATCAGTCACCTCACAGGAAGGGCTGTCAGCACAACCAACAGTACAGTCTTCTTGTGAAGCGTGAGGTAGATATACGTAACAGAAAGAATGGTACATACATACATACAAGAAATGGTTAGAAAAAGGCAGGGGAACGTTTACAATCATCGACATCTACAGACATTTTGGAAAATCCATTTCCATGCGGGAAACACTGCAAAAACATTCTAACACAGAAAGCTCTGACTTCTTGAAACATCAATATAGTAATGTCCAACACCAGAGGCTCTAACAGGTTAGTGATTAGGCAGCGAATGTCACAACAAGCAGTATGGTTTGGAGTTTAAGTATGTTACTGATAGCTTTCAGAGAAAAGGTGTCCCTTTTAAACCCAGTCCTCCCATTGTTGCATAAGAAGTTCCTTTGGAGTGAATTTGATTAGGCTAAAAGTTGCCACTGTGATGAGGCAGCACGCGGCCAGCCCCCTGAAGCCCTGCTTTAAAGGCGTGTGCTGGGACATCAGTAGTACACATATGTCCCGGTGGCTTTCCACAACAGGCAGACATTTGCCACATGAAATTCAGTGTGACAAGCCCAGCTTCAATTGCATTGAGAATGAGTGACTTTGCAGTTACATATTCAGATAGCTTGCCACACCAAATACAGAGACTTGCAGTAGACATGAATAGCTGTTATAAAAGCAGAGCTTACAGGTGTATCAGTACTCTCACAGGCAACTTAATAGCTGGAAAGTACTATTGGTTTCTGTAATAAAGCTATTAACTTGGAACGTCCACTTTAGTTCCCTCTCTCTCTTGAATCAGAAACGCCTCTTCCATCTGCTGAAGAATTACATGTATTTTTGGTAATCTCCAATAGCCAATCAATTCAGATTGATTAAAATTTCTGAATTAAACAGCTAAGTACACTAAGTTCAGTTAATTAAAATATTTGAAATCAAAGCCAATAAACTGAATCTTTGAACTTTATATATTTTTGGTTTATCCAACAGTAAATATAAATCTCTACATCATTTTAAAATTAGAGTATTTTTTTATAAAAACATTCTTAATGCAGCACATTTCCCTCAAAAATATAGTTATCTATTTTACATAGAAGTTTTTCACCCATCCCTCCCAACAACCAAATTTAAAACTTCTTATGAGAAACTACTCAATAAAATATCTGAAGGAAAGGGTTAAAACAAGGAAAGAATTTACAGAGTATGTAAATTTCACAGTAACTGAAATTAAACATTTCATATAGAGTAACTTACATTTATCTAAAACATTTAAATATATCTTTATACACAAATTTAATGTAGTAAAATATAGCTATGATTGAACTTAAAGACTCTAGTCTTCTTTGAAGACATCTTTAAAGACTTTACACATAGAATATGCTTTTACAATACATTCTGCTGAAGGTTAGGGCAAAGCACTTTCTTTTTGACCACACAGGTAGCACCTTCATCCTCTTATCAGAACCAATCCTGCACACTCTTGTGCATGGGTAGAACTACACTTGCATGACAATTCCTGCTGATGTTTGCAGGAAAACTCATTGGCTTGGTAACATAAAGCCTATGGCAACATAAGCTTTTCACATGCTTAACTCTGCACTGGATGTCTCTATAGACTCTGAGAATACCAGTAAATTGTAGAGCTGAGCACGCTCAGGTACTATGAAGATGATGCACGTAGCTACCCACAGGCATGAATGTTTGCAGGATTAGTAACAAATTTGGTTCAAATTGAGCAATATTCTTCTACCCAGCTCTGGGCACTTAACGTCCATTGCATATCTTGCACTTTGACCACCCTCGCATCAGCAAGGCACA